CTGTGACCTGTCAGAAACAAATCATCAGGCCTGCCTTCTGAGGTACCTCTGGGTAGGTTCTGACCACCAACCTTTCTGCTAGTAGGTGAGCACTCAGCCATTTGCATCACCCAAGGGCTCCTATTTTCCAGATAGACAATCCTAAAATCTGTGAATAATGATAGTGTTTTCTTCCTACTTTTTTCTTAAAAAATTTCCTTTCTTACTGCACAGGAGATGAGCTCAAGTAGAATACTGGACTTCTGAGAGATCTTAGGTGGCAAGTTTTTTAAAAGTCTATGGTTTGCATTTTCTGGAATTTAATGCAATAGAATCTATTGTTCAGGGATTTTAGTCCCATTGAAGGGGTTATGCATGAGAAACTAGACAATGAAGAAGGAAGACCAAAGAAGAATTGATGCCTTTAAATTATGGTGTTGTTGAGGCATATTGAATCTACCATGGCCTGCCAGAAGAACAAACAAATCTATCTTGGAAGAAGTACAGCCAGAATGTTCCTCAGAAGCAAGGATGGCGAGACTTTGTCTCACATACCTTGGACATGTTATCAGGAGGGACCAGTCCCTGGAGAAGGACATCATGCTTGGTAAAGTAGAGGATCAGCAAAAAAGAGGAAGACCCTCAAGGAGATGGACTAACGCAGTGATTGCAACAATGGGCTCAAACATAGCAATGATTGTGAGGATAGTGCAAGACCTGGCACTGTTTTGTTCTCTTGTACATAGGGTAACTATGAGTTGGAACCAACTCAATGGCACCTAACAGTACAACAAAGGGTTATGTAGTGCATCCCTCTGCTTATCATGTGTGAAACCAAGACTACTGTAACCATAGATGGGAAACTGCCCTGTTTTTAGAAACATTTTAATATTTTTCTGTCTGATAAGTAATCTGTACTTAAAAAAAAAAAAAAACCAAACTCATTGCTGGCAAGTCAATTCCAACTCATAGTGACCCTGTAGGACAGAGTAGAACTAACCCATAGGGTTTCCAATGAGTGACTGGTGTGTTCGAACTACTGACCTTTTGGTTAGCAGCCTGAGCTCTTAGCCACTTTGCTACCAGGGCTCCAGTCTGTACTTAGAGCTTACTATTTTCTTCAGGCTTTTCCATCTTGCTGCTTTCTGCCAGGACAAGAAAAATCCCTGCTTACAAAATCTTGTGGAAAGCAGCGTTTGTAATATGACCCTAAAATTCAAACTAACTTTTGCAAATGCAAGGTTAGATATTACTTTATACTCCCCCTCTGTCCTGGGTGAGGGAGGTGGCTACCTACAAATAAGACAGACTCCTTTGAAGTAATTCATAATTCCCAAAGGAACATTGGTTCATTGTTTAATACAACACATCTCCTTTTTTTTTAAAGGAAGGCAGTCGAGGTAACAGACGGGGAAAGCTTTAGGTCTGACATTTATAAATAGTCCTGCAGTTCATTCCATGATATATTTACAATTCTCTCTTGGCTATTCTGAAAGTTGAGTTCTTATCAAGATACTTTTCTCTTGACCAATGAGTGCAAATTATTGGCAATAGATTAGAGCTCTAAAATAATGGAGGCAGGTGGTGAGCTTTGGGATCCCAGAAAGTTTTACTTCTGTTCTAGAGTATTGTCATCACCAACACTTGATCTTTAGAGGAACCTCTTTTCCATGGATCAGATGGAGGGAATAACTCTTTGAATAAATCTGCTGTCCCAGCTACTGCTAGGAATGCTCCTGTTTCTTTTAATCACATTAATACTTCCATACTGATTGTTCACTGTGTTGCCAGGCAATGTGTCAATATGTTACATACAGAAGAAATATAGCCTGTTTCTTTAAAGAATTTGAAATTTAAGTGGTAGAAATTTAAGGAAAACTTATCAAAACTACCAAATATTTTCAATAGTGGTACCTACTGCTGGGGAGGGTGTGGAGAGACAAGAATGCTTAAATACTGTTGTTATATGTATAAATTACTTCAGTCTTTCTGGAGGGCAATATGGCTATAGCTGCCACAGTGTTAATGTGCACCCCTTTGTTCTGCCAATTCTACTTACAATAATGATGGACTGGATAATTTAGATCAATCCTCTCTCTAAGAACAACTAGAAAAGCTAGGCAAAATATTCTTTAAATACCGGTATAGTGAGAGATTATGGGACCAAGATCCAGGAGAAGAAGGAAACCAAGACAGCCAGTCTTTCGGGACCACTTTATCCTTAGAGGCACTACAGAGAGGCTGAAAAGTAAATAGGTCTAAGGAATAAAACACAGGAATTCATGGGATGCTCAAGGAGGAAGGGCCCTAGTAATCCCCCCAGGCTATAGTGTCAGACCCAATGAAATAGGGACTGGAAATGGACCGGCCCTTACAAGCACTGAAGTTCAGCAAAGCACTGAAGTTCAGCTTTGTATTAATTTTCAATCATCAATTGGATTAAGATGGAGAGAATCCTTCATGTTCTAAGGCATCTATTATATATAAGGAATAACTTCTTTCTTTTGTATCTGGAATGGTACTAGCTATATATCCTTACAGGAGAATTGAGAAATAGTCACTCAAATAATTTTTCTGCAGGGCTTAAGTCTCTCATGAAATCATATTGAGAAAAATTAAGATTAAGGTGATCCGGGATTGCTAATCTCTGCTAGTCACCAGACAGAAGCTGGAGGGAGACAACATCTTCATAGGGATTCAAATTACCAGTACAGTTTTTTATATTCACTGATCAGCACTCAGTCAGAAATAATAAGGCATATGGGAAGATAAGACAATCAGATAGGAAACCAAGATAAATAATAGAAATAAACTCACAGAGATAGATTTTTTAAATGTTCTTAGTAAAAGACATGGTTAAGAATTTTGCCAGAGGCTCAGAAACTATGTTTTAAAAATCTAATGGAAATTCTAGCAATCAAAAGCCGTGCTAGCAAATTAAGACCCCAACAGATGATTTTAACAGCATATTAGGTATAGGCAGAGATAGATTTTGTAAACTGAAATTTAGTTAAATCAAAATATCCACATGGATGCATGTAGAGACAAAATATAGAAAAGAGCATGAGAGTCAAATGGAATAGGGCAAAAAGGCCATATATATATATAGAGAGAGAGAGAGGGGGGAGGAAGAGTCTCGGAAGGAGAGAAGTAAGAAAATGGAGAAACAATATTTGAACAGAGAATGACTGAAATTTTTCCAAAACAGATGAAAGTATTAATCGAGAAGAAGTGGATTAATCCATTCAAGAAGTGCTACAAATCCCAAGATGGATAAATACAACCACACCTGGGAACATCACAGTGAAACTGCTGAAAACTACAGACAAAAAGAAAATCTTAAAAGCAGTCAAAAGAAAAGGCATATTATTTTAAATGAACAGTAAGACAATGAGCTGACTTCTCAACAGAAATAGTAGAAGACAAGAAACAACAGAATGATATCTTTAATGTGCTTAAATAAAATATAGGACAACTGTTCATAGATATGTATTCCAGGACGTTTGTTGTAGTGAAAAGTTGGAAATCACATAAATGTGCAAAAGGAAGGACTAGTTAAAAAATATTTACCTTGTGGGACTTCGTAAAATGATTCAGTCATTATGAAAAACAGTTTAACAGTTCCTCAAAAAGTTAAACATAGAATTACTGTATGACTCAGCAATTGCACTCTTAGGTATATTCCCAAAAGAATTGAAAGTAGATATTCAAACAAATACATGTACATGCATGTTCATAGCAGCACTCTTCACAATTGCCAAAAGATGGAAACAGCCCAAATGTCCATCAAGGGATGAATGGATAAAGTGTGGAATACCCATACAATGGAATATTATTCAGCCATAAAGAGAAATGAAGTTCTGATGTGTGCTACAACACGGATGAACCTCAAAAACATGCTAAGTGAAAGAAGCCAGACTGAAAAGATCACATATTTTATGATTCCATTTTTATGAAATATCCAGAATAGGTAAATCCATAGAGGCAGAATGCAGATTGGTAGTTGCCAGGGACTATGGGGTGAAGACTGTGGAGCAATGAGGGGGGGTTTCATTTTGGGGTGATGAAACTGTTTTGGAACTAGAGAGAGGTGGTGATTGTACAACATTGTGAATGTACTAAATGCCACTGTGTTGTTCACTTTAAAATGGTTAATTTTATGTGAAATGAATTTCACCTCAATTTAAAAAAAATTTTAATATTTACCTTCCTACAGTCAACCATGTAGCCATTAAGGATAAGCTAGATCTCTAGGTGGTGATATGAGAAGATGTTCCAGATGCATTATTAAGTGAAAAAAGCAGGTTGCTCTAGTTTACATTAATAATATTTAGATATGATTAAGTATGAACAGATGGGCAGAAAATGTTAACAGTGGTTTATCTTTGGGTGGTGGAATTATGCGAAAATTTTCCACATTCTGTATAATTTTTTATGATGATCATGTATTATCAGACAAAGATATTTCCATTTAAGAAACCAAAATTACTGTTTCAAAGGGTATGTGCTCTTTATTGATCCTGAGTCCATCGTGGGTGTGGTGTAATAGATACTGTTAAGTGGATTCCATTACCTCTATATGAAAGAAACTCTGCAAAGGAAGGGTCAGGTAAGACTGCTAGACTCCGATCCTTAACATCCTGTATCTTCCTAGATCTGGGGAGGATCAAGGTAAACATTACCCTTGGAGATGTGCAGCATGGTAGCTCTCATTTTATTCTCCTTCTCATTCTCCTTCTCTGATTGAAATTACTTTCCTTATAGGAAATTTCAGAATAATGTTAAGAATTGGGTTAAGAAAAATTTTACTTTTTTTTTCTTTTCCTACTAAAATGTCAGCCTAAGGGTAAGAAACTAACATTATTCCCATATCCTATAGATAAGACAAATCTTCAGCATTGGTGAAATTGCAGTTCCCTCAGTGCAGTGCAGGGAAATGGTACAGTGATCTTGATCGTTTACATTGGTACCAAGTTATGGTGCAGTGCCATTTTGGGTAATAGAGTGAATTGTTTTTACAGGCCGAGAGCTACGCCTGCCCCTCCGAATCAAAGGGGAAGGAATGGGACCTAAGATTCATTTCGACTTTGAATTGCTGGATATTGGGAAAGTTTTTGTTGGATCTATACATTGTTATGAGGTAAGCAGCAGAATTATTGAGACTTTAAACAATGCTCTGCTTTTGTTGTTGTTTTACTTTGTGCTTGTTTTCATTTTATAGAAAATGTGTTATAGTCACATTCATTTGCCCTTACTTGTACTAATTCTCTTTTATTCAGACTCTAAAACACTCTGACTCTTTCTTCTCTCTTCTAGCCTTGATGGGGGAGCAACCTTTTCCATCTTCTGCAGCCTCCTCTAATTTTACCAAGAGCTAAAAAATATCAAAGCCATCATTTAATTGGTCTTAACTTCATCATATTGCATATTGCAAAGGGGAGAACCATAAATACATCCCCCATCTGTTTGGTGCTTGTTCACTGACTACAAATTCTACAGATAAGTGGACAGAGAACCTTTTACATTTTCCAGAATGTCCTAATGAGGATAGCTGTTTTCACACTTTAGAATTTTCTCTGAATGCACATTCTCCAATCCACATTTTAAAAAGCCAGTCATTGTGGTTTCTGGAAGAGACCTCCCTGCTTTGTCTTTCCAAGAAAGCATGAAATGATTCTTTTATATGATACACTCTTGGGTTCTTCAGGATCAGAGTTTCCTCAGTGTCACCTCATCACTAAATTTGTATCTAGGGCACTTTTTTGAACTATATCAAACTATACTCATTAAAATTTTATTTTAGAAATGTTCCTAAATTGAACGTTTGTATTCTTATAGAGGTAATAATAAAAGCATGTGAGATTTTTATAGGAGGTAGTACTGGAGGTGACATATATCACTTTCATTCACATCATTGGCTATACCTAACTGCAAGGGAGTTGGAATCAACTCAACGGCAACCAGTTTGGTTTTTTTTGGTTAACTGCAAGGAAGTCTGGGAAATGGGCTTGGTGAACAGCAAACCTGACTGTGCCACAGGCATTGAGTAACTGGTTAGTGTTAGTGAGCACTGAGTTACTTTAGGGGTCTATATGCTGTGCCGGAAAAGAAGGCCTTTTGCTGGCCTTTCAATCCTTTGGGCTCTCAGCATCCCACTCTCTTCAGGTGGCGCAAGCCCGGCGGCCTATAGCCAACTCTGCTCTCAGCCACAGCTTAACCTGGCAGCGGGAGCAAGGTGCTCAGTGCTGTCAAGAGCTACCTATGGTGTCCTTCATCTCCGCATTTACTAGGGAGATTCTGGCCTTAATGGGATGATGTATAAGTTAAACAGAGATGTTAATATCATGATGATATTAATTTTAATGAAGAAATCACTCACATAACTGTCATAAATTTGAAAGTGCATACCTACTATGCTGCATTATCTTGTATTGAATTTTGAGAGAAGGAAGGAAAATAAAAAGGTACAGTAGTTGTTATTAAGCTTATATTCTGTCTGTAATTTACCCAGTAAGAATTTCCCTTACACCTTACAGACTGCACCTTACTTACAGCACATCAGAAAAAGACCTTTTGTTCTGATCCAGAATGGATAGAGTTTCCCTGAATGTAATAACAGTTTCTTACAAATTTAACAGAAGTGTACTTTATGCCACCATTTCCCACCCTCCCAGGTTTTAAAGTAAAGCAAACCACAGCATCCAGATAAGTGTGAAATGAGGTGATGCATCACACTGGACAGTTCTGAGAGCTGTGCAGTGGCAGAGAAGGACATGGTAAGGTGCTTCTTATGAGGATATTTTGCACTTTCTGCGTATTTAATGCTGATGCCTCATTGCATCTCTCTTTCCACTTGTTACATTACCTACTGGAGACAAATTTGAATAACTAGCTATTGCCCTTAGTCATTGCTGAGCTTAGCAGATACATAAAAAAGAAGCCATAACCCACTCACCCCCCCCCCACAATGAGTATACACTATTCCCCAGTGTAATTAGGAAGGAAAACAAATGAGAAGTGAAGTTCTATTATAAATATTCTCCTCTCCAAGGAGTTGGGCTGCAAGGGTAAAGGTGTTACCAGTAATCAAAAGGCTTTAGAATTTTGTCCCAAACGATTTGTTGGAGTCTGTATATGTAAGTAGGTACTCCCTTGTCAGGGGGAGAAAAATGACACGCATATTTTTGAAAATGAAGGAACTGACACCTTACAGAAAATCTGGGTAAAACATCGTCATTAACCCAAAAAAAGTCAGTCTGTGCATCTTCTCAGAAAGGAGAACAGAGTCATGAGTTGCCACTAATATATGTCAATCGCTTCTTAAACACAGTTAAACTGATCCTGCTTGGCCCTGGGGATATAAATAACAATCACTATCATTTATTAGCACTATTTGCCAGGCACTGTTCTAAGAGTTACATAAAAAGTAGTAGTAGTAGTAACCCCGTTTTACAGATGGGGAAACTAGGGCATGGAGAAGCTAAGTAGGTTGTACAAGGTTAACCAGAAAACCAAACCCATTGCCATCAAGTCAATTCCAACTCATAGCGACCCTGTAGGACAGAGTAGAACTGCCCCCATAGGGTTTCCAAGCCTGTAATCTTTACTGAAGCAGACTGCCACATCTTTCTCCCTGTGGAGTGGCCGGTGGGTTCAAACTGAGCACTTAACCACTGCACTGCCAGTGCTCCCTTGTATAAGGTTACACAGCTGGTAAGTCAGTGACAGAGCTAGGATTTGAACCCAGGCAGTTTGGCTTCAGAGTACCTGGTCATAATCATGTTGCTACATGGTCTTTTTTAAAAGGAATAAAGGATAAGGCATGATTCCTAGTAACCTGGGAACTTAAAACAAAAGAAGGAAATGGGAAATATATATTAAAAAGATAATAAACTATCAAGCAGCAGTTATTTATATATCCATTGTGATGCATTCCCTCGTCTCTTAGCTGAAGTAGTTGTCTTCCTCCATAAGGGACCCTGACCCTATCTTATAAATGCTTTTGATTCCCTCTTCCCAGCTTCTCAGGAGGTAGCCTCAGGGCATGGACCCATTCTTCTTCACATCCTCCCAGACCCCATTCCCTTGGTTATCTGGCCCTCTATTACAACAACAAACTTCGTTTGTGCTTACTCTAGGCCAGCCACTGAGTCAGGCACTCTGTATGCATCATCTCATTTAATACAAATATACTCAGTCTCATCTATCACACCTTCCTACAGCTTTGTCACTCCTTTCTCACTTTTCACTATTAATCTTCTGAGAAGAGGAATCTAGAATAGTCAACCACTATTTCCTCTACACTCATTCACTCCTTAAGCATTTGTACTCTGGCTTCTGCAGTCACACTCCATTGGAATTGCTCCCTTCTTCAAAGTCAGGGATGACCTCTAATTAAAAGTAAAAAATCTGTAACCTTTTCTCAGAGCCTGTTCTCCTTGACCTCTGTCCACATTTGCCCACTTCTGGAAATTCTCCTCTCTCAGCTGCAAGTTCCTGGCATGCCCCACCTTTTCTTGCTACCTTTTTCAATGTTTCTTTGCAATCTCCTGTGTTCTTTGTCCTCCAATGCCTTAAGTGTAAGTTGAGGACAATTCCTACATAATTCAAGAGAACATGCTGTTCACCCATTCAGGTGCAAAGACAGCACTGGCACAGGATTAGAGTGGTGTCTTTGGAAGCACAGAAATAGAAAAGTGTGGCTGTACTTCAGGTTCATGCACAAGAATTGTGGGAAGTGGGAGCAGGAGCAGTAGACTGAGGCCAGTTGTAGAGAATTCTCAATGCCAGATGTGAGTTCTTTACATATACACACAAAATCTAACATGTAACCAATTATGGACAACAATATGGTTCCAGAACACTAGCATATAGGAATAAAACTGTTCTAAAGCAAACTAATTCCTTGCTTAAGCATCCCAAAATAATTATCCAATAGAGGTTGAGATTAAAATATCCCAATAGGATGAAATCTAATAGCACAGCAAAGAGAATCCTTGTCCTTGAGGATCCACAATGAAGTCTCTTTTACATTCTTCAAGCTACGTTGTAAGCATAGGCTTAGGTAGTTCTTGCTCCTCTTTTCTGACTTGGTTTTTATTTTTCAGTATGCCTTTTAATTTCAGCCTTCTCATATGTATAATAGAAATACCTAACTCCCCTCAGTTACTTTATAGAGAGTATTAAAAAAAAGGTATTTTAAAGCTTTTTATCAATAGATGTGATTATAATCAGTCTTTATAGCATGACTATAATGTTTGATTAAGTCGAATCTAAAGAAAAACCTCCTTGCTGTCGAGTTGATTCCGACTGATAGAGACCCTACAGGACAGAGTAGAACTGGCTCGTAGGACTTCCGATGAGTGGCTGGAGGATTCAAACTGCCGACCTTACTGGTTAACAGCCATAGCTCTTAACCACTTCACTACCAGGGCTCCAAGAGGAGAGTAAAAATACAGGATTACTTTCTGGCTTGGGATTCCTATCTTCAAATATTCAAGACATCAGGTTGTTCATTTTTCCTCTAGAGCTTTTCTTTGGTTCTAATTCCTTTAACTTTCTGTGTGTTAACTGGTGCCAAACAATACAGTCACGTGATTATATGAAATAGATCAATTTAAGGCTTGGAAAAAGGGGTCCATTGTCTACCTTTTCATTCTTGCCTTTTTATTGATATAGACAATACTGTCCAACAAAGGGAGCATTGACACCCTCTTCAATGTAATGCCTCCAACTACGGCTTTGGGGGCCTGCTTTGTTTTCAATCCCAGAGAAGGCATTATCCAACCAAATGGAGTCCAAGCTATACAGATCTCCTTCAGTTCTGCCATCCTGGGGCACTTCGAAGAAGAATTCCTAATCAATGTCAACGGATCACCTGAGCCTGTGAAATTGGTCATTAGGTAAGGTGCATCTATTACTAATGTGGAAACTAACTGCAATTTTTTACCTACTGCTTTCTTGAACTTCAAAACTAGATCACATCTTGGATGTCCATAATTATTTTTGTTGATATGAACACATCAATATAAGGGGGTATTTTAAATTTTCACCAATATTTCCCTAGTGAAGATGTGTAACTTATTATTGTTACATGGATACAGTTGCTATACTTGAGATCTATTTTTTCTATAGGCTATAACCTTATAAAATAAATATTTAAACCTTTAGCTATTTTCTAATTACTCTCTATGTTTTAGAATGTTTAAGGAAAATAAATTATTAGAGTAACACCCAGAGAAAAACATCTTCTTGACTGAACTGTGGTTGTTATCACAGTTTCTCTAAACCTTCAACTTTATTTTTTTAAGGAAATTCTTTAAATGCTCTTACCTATGATGCCTGCGGGCATTACAAAAGAGTCTGCTTACAGTGTCAGTCAACCAAGGCTAGGCACTTTCAGCTTTTGTGCTAGAAGTCTTTTTATGGCTTTTCCAGCTGCTTGTGATAATTGAAAGTCATTAATATCAGAGTTTGTCCTCAGGTTTTGAAAAGAAGAAGTTATCTGTGACCAACCCATTAGGCAGATCTATAACTTTGATTTCTGGCACTTAGAAGGATCATATCTTCAGAACATATTGTTCTGACTCCATTTGGATTCTCACAGCACCAGGTTGTTAGTTACCACAGCTGTCTCTTATTATAGTTACTGTTAGCAGGACCACCCTCCATCTATAGCTTAGGTCCCTGTCTTAGTCATCTAATGCTGCTATAACAGAAATACCACAAGTGGATGGCTTTTAACAAAGAGACATTTATTCTCTCACAGTCCAGTAGGTTACAAGTCCAAATTCAAGGCATCAGCTCCAGGGGAAGGCCTTCTGTCTCTGTTGGCTCTGGAGGAAGGTCCTTGTGATGCATCAGTCTTCCTTGGTCTGGGAGCATCTCAGTGCAGGAACCTCAGGTCCAAAGGATGCACTCTTCTCCTGGCACTACTTTCTTGGTGGTATGAGGTCCCCAACTCTCTGCATGCTTCCTTTTCCTTTTATCTCTTGTAAGATAAAAGGTGATGCAGGCCATACCCCAGGGAAACTCCCTTTTCATTGGATCAGGGATGTGACCTTAGTAAGGGTGTTACAATCCCACCCTAACTCTCTTTAACATAAAATTGCAATCACAAAATGGAGGACAACCACACAATACTGGTAATCATGGCTTAGCCAAATTGATATACACATTTTTTGGGGGAAGTAATTCAATCCATGACAGTCCCCCTAGAGGCCTGGGGATAGCATAGAAATGAAACAGACACATTTGGATCCTAGGAAGCTTTATTCATCTCATGATGTCTACTGGAAATTCAGAATCTCAAGCTCAAAGGTGATTACCATTTCTTCTCAAACCCTTCCACCTATGTATCCCTAACAGCTAAGGAGAGTGATTACATGTACCTCAAGGGTTCAGTGGTTTGGCCAAGGCAACCTGCCTCAATCATAAAATTTTTTTAAGTCTCAAGGCTTATTTTAAGATTTCATCCATTTGTATTCTCTTTCATAGTACATTTGTGTATGCTTTAATAGTAAAAAAAAAAAAAAATGGGGTTGCTTTCCAAATATTTGAAGAACGTTGAATCTGTAAGAAGTTGGACTGTGCTTATCCTATCCCATGTCCTTCAGGGGTGTGCATAGTATGAGAAGGATGGGAGTACATTTTCATGTTGTGTGACCTTCAGCCCACCTCCCACCTTCACAACAAGTCACATTTCATGAGAAGGAGTGGATACATCATAATCATACTGTTGAAATCTGAAGAGAAAGAGAGAATCTTGAAAGCAACAAGAGAGAATTCATCATGTAAAAGTGATCATCAATAAGATTGATAGCTTATTTCTTATCAGAAACCATAGGGAGCTGAAGGCAGTGGGTTGAAATAGTCAGTGTTGAAAGAAAGAGACTGTCAACTAGGAATTCTATATCCAGAAAAACTAACCTTCAAAAATGACAAAGAAATTAAGACATTCACAGGCGAACAAAAATCTATGAGAATTTATCACTAGTAAACCTGCCCTGCAAGAAATACTAAAGAGAGTCCTTCACACTGAATATGAAAGGACACTAGACAGTAACTAAACTCCACATGGAGAAGTAAGGTGAACAAGTAAAGGTAACTACATAGGAAAATATAAAAGACAGTATAAATGTATATTTATAATGTTTCTAATTCATCTTTTCTCCTATCTGATTTAAAAGAAAACTACATAAAGCAATAATTGAAAATCTGTGTTGATGAGTATGCTGTGTATAAAGATGCAGTTTATATGAGTATAACAGCACAAAGGAGGGGGAGCAAATGGAGCTATACAGAAGCAAAGTGTTTGTATACTATTGAAATTAAGTGGGTATTAATCCAAACTAGACTGTCATAAATTAACATTGTTATTTGTAATTCCCAGGCAAACTACTAATAAAATAACTCAAGAATATATAAAAATAAATGGCAGGAGAATTACAATGATACACTGGAAAATATATATTTAACACAAAAGACAGCAGTAGTAAAAGAATAGTGAAACAAAAAAGACATAAGACATATAGAAAACTACAAAATGGCAGAGGTAAATCCTACCTTATCAGTAAAAGTAAATGGATTAAACACTCCAATGTAAAGGCAGAGATTCGCAGAGTGGACTAAAACAACATGATTAAATGATATGCTGTCTACAAGAGACACAAATAGATTGAAAGTGAAATCATGGGGAAAAAAATCATGCAAAATAGAACTAGAGTGGCTACAAATATCAGACAAAATAGGCTTTAGGACAAAAGTTGTTATTAGACAAAAGTGAAGTATTATATAATGCTAAAACGGTCAACCCATCAAGAAGATCTAACAACTATGATCATATATGCACCTAACAACAAAATACAGAGACAAAAACTGAGAGAATTGAAGGGAGAAATAGACAGTTCAGCAACAATAGCTGGAAGCTTCAATACTTCACTTTCGATAATGGATAGACAACTAGGCAGAAGATAATAAAGAAATAGAAGATTTAGACAACACTATAAATAAACTAACTAGACCTAACAGATGTATATAGAACATTCTGCCCAACGACAACAGAATACACATTCTTTTCAAATGTACATGGAACATTCTCCAGGCTGGATCATATGTTAGGCAATAAAACAAGTCTCAATAAATTTAAAAGGATTGATATCATACAAAGTATGTTCTTTGCCACAATGGAATGAAATTACAAATCAATAACAGAAGGAAATTTGTAAATTCACAAATAAAAGGAAATTAACACACTCTAAAAAACCAATGGGCATCAATGGATGCATGGATAAATAAAATGTGATATATACACACATGGAATACTACTCAGCCATAAAGAGAAATGAAGTCCGTATGCTTGCCAAAACATGGATGAACCTTGAAAACATCATGCTGAGCAAAATAAGTCAGTCACAAAAGGACAAATAGTGTATGATCTCACTTATATGAAGTAAGCAAGTATATAGAAACCAAAGATTATTTGTGGCTATCAGGTGTAGGAAGAAGGGGAAAAGGAGAAGTTTTTGCTTAGGGAGCATTGATTTTATGTTCATGGTAGTGGAATGATTTGGGAAAGGATAGAAAGAATGGTTGTACAACTTGAAGAATGGAATCAATGTCACTAAAATGTATATGTGGAAATTATTGAGTTGGGTCTTCCACTCTGAACAATAGGATTTAGGAATCCCCTAGAATACTGCTCAGAAATGGACCTGGATTAGTTAATACTTCAGTTGACCTGTTGAGGTCAAGTCTCCTGTTCTATCCTCTGGACATTTCCATTTTCCCAAACTCCCATTCCTCTCTCTTATTTTGTATTTTTGTTCCTGGTCTCTTTGAAAGAGAAGGTCAACCTGACTGTGGAAAAAATGTTTATGGGACTTTATGCCCAATCTAACCACGAAGTGCTAAGAGATATGTTGTTGTTGGGTGCTGTCAAGTGGTTTCCCACTCATAACGACCCTATGTACAACAGAACAGAACGCTGCCAGGTCTTGTACCATCCTCATAATCGTTAATGCTTGAGCCCATTGTTGCAGCCACTGTGTTAATCCATCTTGTTGAGGGTCTTCCTCTTTTTCCCTGACCCTCTACTTTACCAACCATGATGTCCTTCTCCAGGGACTGGGCCCTCCTGATAACATGTCCAAAGCATGTGAGATGAAGTATCACCATCCTTGCTTCTAAGGAGCGTTCTGGCTGTACTTCTTCCAAAACAGATTCGTTCATTCTTCTAGCAGTCCATGGTGGATTCAATATTCTTCGCCAACACCATAATTCAAAGGCATCAATTCTTCTTCAGTCTTCCTTACTCATTGTCCAGCTTTCTCATGCATAGGAGGTGATTGAAAACACCATGGCTTGGGTCAGGTGCACCTTAGTCCTTCAAGTAATATCTTCGCTTTTTAACTCTTTAAAGAGGTCTTTTGCAGCAGATTTGCCCAATACAGTGCACCTTTTGATTTCTTGACTGCTGCTTCCATGGGTGTTGATTGTGGATCCAAGTAAAATGAAATCCTTGACAACTTCAGTTTTTTCTCCATTTATGGTGATGTTCCTTATTGGTCCAGTTGTGAGGATTTTTGTTTTCTTTATGTTGAGGTGTAATCCATGCTGAAGGCTGTGGTGTTTGATCTTCATCATTAAGGGCTTCAAGTTCTCTTCAGTTTCAGCGTGCAAGGTTGTGACATCTGCGTATCAGGGGTTATTAATGAACCTTCCTCCAATCCTGATGCTGCATTCCTCTTCACATATTCCAGCTTCTCGGATTATTTGCTCAGCAAACAGATGGAATAAGTATGGTGAAAGGATACAACCCTGACGCACGCTGTTATGGACTGAATTGTGTCCTCCAAAAATGTACATCAACTTGGCTAGGCCATGATTCCCAGTACTGTGTGAT